ATTACACTGTGCTGCAGTTACAATCTTACTTTTTGTACTGAACTGCCAATATTTATGGCATTAGAAATGAAATCAGATTGTAATCAGCATCTGAGAGCACCAGTTCAGTTAAGTGAGAGGAACACATAGAAATGAAAGGCAGAAATTGTATATATGGTTTGCTTTATAAAGCTTATCATATCCTCATGCAAAAATAAATAAATAAAAAATAAAAAATAAAGAAATAAAATAAAGAAAGAAAGATAAAAAGAAGTTGGGATTCTTGATTAGATCTGCATTTAGTCAATGTATAAGGGTCTGTACTTATCATTACATGATCACTAGTTTCAATATCATTAAACTTCTATTGACTATGAAGCTAATGTTAGAGGAGTTGGTACACCTGGGTCAAGTAAATTGTCTAATGTGAGTGAACAAGACAAACCTTGTAGTATTAGTGGCACTGCATGTGTCTATCAACAGGTTACCACATTGGGAAGTGTATATAAGCTGATGTTTTAACATGATTTAAAGGTAGCCGAGAGCGAGAGAGAGAGAGAGAGAGAGAGAGTGGGAAGGGGAGAAAACATGCATTAATACAGTAATATGTTGGCTGAAAATTAGAGAGAGAGAGAGAGATTGAGAGAGGTGTATCTTGAGCACTGTAGTGTTCTTGGGCTTCAAGTATATGATAATCACCTGAGGGATCTTCTATCCTTGTGGCAGGCCTGTCATCTTTCTTACTAAATCAAGGAACCCAATCTGTTATTAGCTGTTTCCATGACTTTTGTAGTATCAGATATCTCAGACCTCACCTTAGTTGAAGAGGAAGTTAAATTGGGGTTTTGAGCTTATATGTCATCACCTGTCTGGAGTTCCCTTAAACTATGTGGCTGGTATCACTCAGTTGCTATATTACTGGATGGACACACACTGAGCTCATAAATGCTGTAACCATATGAGAAATAAGATCATTGTACACTACATAGGACAGAATTTTGTATTATTTTTCTTTAATTTTATGTATGAGCATGACTATTCTAATGAATACTCCATTGATAGTTAATATAAATATCTTAATATAAGACTGCTCAATCTTCATAATCTAAAATTTTTGTTTTCCTCATTAAAAAACTGTATGTATTGTTTTGTTTAGATCAGTTTATACAAAACATTTAAGCCTTTAGATATTGGGAAGGATGCATTTGATTGCAGTCCCTCTATAAAATCTCTGTAATTCCAAGTTACAATTTGATGATGGAGTGTGTGCTATCTACAATCATATATGGACCATTACCTTAGCAGTTCAAGGGCAACATTAACTTGATATCAAATTTTTTGCTGTGGTGTACTATAGAGCTCAAACTTCCACCCTGTCAGACATTGTGCCTGTTAAAAGGTACACCAAACTTGTGACAGACACGATTTTACGTAGAAGGTATCACATAGTCTTTTAATGACATATAAGAAACTAATATCACCAAACTCATCCATTAAAAAATGAGGCAGAACTTCACTTTGAAGTAAATGTAAAGGATAATTAGGCCAGATTCTCAAGGTGTTTTTTAATGTGTAAGCTGATATAACAAAGACCAGCTTTAAGTCAGTTTTGTTCAGTGTGATCAAAGGTTTCTAAGGGTTACCTAAAAAGTTAGGCTGTAAGCCAGTTAAAACTCCATTAGAAATAACATTGCTTGAAAAACATTTTTTTACCATAAGACTTGACGCAGGTTTTAGGGACCATTCTCACAGATATATGGATCGATCTATCTCCCTGGGGAGTCTAACTAAATTGTTATCAAACTAACTGGCTTAAACGTCTGTCACGCTTAGTAAAACTGTAACAGTAATTATCTTTACCCCTAGCTGATTCAGTAGGCATGACAGACATTTAAGCCTCTTGAGCTGATATCAATTTAGCGCGAACCCCCAGGGAATTAGGTCGATCCAGATGGATCGATCTAAGTATGGGAACCCAGTCTTACACTGATGGAAATAAGGCATAGTCAGTTGCAATTTTGTCATTCAATTGACCTTTGATAGTGTGTTTGTATGCAGGTCCATATCCAGCAATTTCAAAAGGGGGGTTCTTTTTCTGAAAAAAGTGGACCTTTTACCATGAAACCCTCGTGTACCTAGATAAAATTTTACCCTGAGTGGACATTGTCCAGGCATAAGGGGGGGGGGGGGGCAGGTCTATTGAACCCTCCCTCCCCCACCCCCCAGCTACCGGCCATGTGTGTGTGTGTGTGTGTGTGTGTGTGTGTGTGTGTGTAATTGTGATTGCATGTCTGTTTATTTTTTATAAAATTAAAGGATTTTTTGTTAAAAATGTGTAGAGTTAGTGTGTACGTCTGCGTGTGTTGTAAGTCTAATACCCCGTTCACACTGCAGTCATTTAACCGGTTAAATAGCGAATTAGGTCAAGATTCGAATTATTGCGGTAGTCTGAATGCATGAGGATTTTTGTAAACCGGTTTCCAACAATCCTACTAGCGAGCTGGATTCTCTCCAGCGATTCGGTTACTTTACCGGAAGGGCCACCTGTTTAGATCGCACTGCGCATGCACTAGCAAATCTCGCGGGAAAGAAAAGCAGCATGCCAGGTCAGTGGACCCACACTCTCCATCGAAACCCAGCTATTCTCCTTGTATCCGTCAAATTCTTCCAGATCTTACTTAAATCTTCCTTTTGACGACTTTTGGGTTAAATTTGATGTTCCAAAAACAAACACACGAGAAAAAAAATTGAGTGCGAGAAGAGCAATGATTGGCGCCATATTTTTGTTTTCATGGATTCTGCGCATGCGCGGTTCTTCAAACCGGAACCTCCACCTGAATTTTCAGTGCACGATTCGGTTTCCCTTTGCTGTGTATGGCCAGACAACTGAATCGGATTTTTCACCCGTAATTCGCATTGCAAAATTCGGATATTTCAGATTGTAGTGTGAACGGGGTATAAGAGACCATTCCCTGACTCTATCGTACTAACTTTGGATCGAAACTTTGGAGCTTCGAGGGGATTCTTGCTTAATTGCAATTATCTTGGGCAGCTTAGATGTCTGTCATGCCTGCTGAGGATGATAGGGGGTAATTAACTATCATTTAGCAGTTTGAGTGGGCGTCCCAGACATCTTAGCTCCTTGGGCTGAAAGCAATTCAACAAAGGACCCTGTCAGGGGCGGATCCAGAGTTATTTTCTGACAGTCTTCCAATTTATCTTTGTTGATCCATCCTCCATTTTTGACTGTCTTCCGACATAAAAAATTAGATACCCGTCAATGTAAACTTGAAAATCTGACCGTCTTCCGGAAGACCCAGAAGACGCCCTAAATCCGCCCCTGCCTGTGGAGATGGACTGATCCTGTTAGATTGATCTAGAGATGGGAACCCAGTCTTATTGAAAGCTGATAATCTTCTAAAGTCAACTCAAAAATCAAATTACCATTTTAGTCATCTAAAAGATCCATCTTAGTCTTCCTCTACATGTGTACTTTAGTGTAGGGGTGAATGTTAACAGCTGAAGCTGAAACAGACATTAAAAGTCAATAACTAATACTAGCAATATAAAACACTTTGGCCTTAATTTACAGTTTTGTATTGGTCATGAAATTTAGAGAATTGTATAAAACTACAACATTGCAGTGGTCCTTTATCAACAGTGTAATGAAAGAATTCACATTAAAAAGAAAAAATAACATTTTTCTGGCTTGAAGGAATATATTTAAGGGATGACAACTCTCTTCATTTTAGGGGAAAAGTTCCATCAAATGGATTTACTGAGGTAAACAATGATTTACCCATACTTTCCAATAGTTAATGAATCTGTTCCAACATTCAAAGTTTGTTGATTTTTTTAAGTGTGGTTTTTACAGAACGTAGCCATCTATGAAGGTCCAGGTGGCCTGATGGCAAGCACAGACTTAAGAATAATTGCAATAACCCCTGTTTTGTTGGTCAAATGGAATTAATATTGTTTCTATGTGTTATTTACAAAGCAATAATTGCCATAGCAACGTTAAGATAAGATAAGATAAGAGTTTATTTAGCCAATTATAAAAATCGGAAATCATTTTCCTTTTGGAGCAATATACAGAGTAAAATAATAAAATAATACAATAAGTAAATTAATTAAGAATTTAGTTTTGAGATCAAATTAAAATGCGTCACTGCATTGGTAATTATCAACCACGAGTTTTCCTGCATCACTGTTGTGGTAATTATCAACCACGAGTATTCCTGAATTTTCACTTTGTGTAAAAATGCTACTTTTGAGCAGGTATATAAATAGAATTATTTAGACAAAGGCTGTTATATGCCTATGAGATACAAGTATACATCAAAAAGAAAGTATGAATATTTTCAAAAGACAACAAAAACATCCCATGTACCACACTTTAAGGCAAGTAATGACACATTTACAAAATTCACCCAAATTTATTAAAAAGTTTTCATCCCTAAGCTTACATGATATAGGTATAGAAAGAGTTCCACCACTAGTCCCAGTATTTTAACATAAATTTGGATTTAAAAATAAGTGTCTGTAGAGGCATCAGTGGAGAATTGACTAGTAATTGATTGGATAGAGTAATTTCATGTGTAAAACTGACCTTTTCGAGGATAAAGACATTCCTGCAAGAAAAATATTAAAAAAAAAAAAAGAATAAAAGCTCAAATTGCATTTTTGTGGTTAAGATAGTAAATTAAGGCATGTTAACTTGGAGCAGCTTTGTTAATGAAATGGTAACTATTTTTGAGGAACAGGTCAGAGACAGCTCTCTGTGTAAAGAACGGTCAAGGAATTGTGCTAGAGAATATGTTGAGCAAGAGAACAACCAAACACAATGACACAGAACTTGCTCTACTAGCACATTACTTTTTTTTTCAATTTCTTTCACTCATCCCTCTCTTATTAAAATTCTAACTGTAACTGAATCTGTATCTGAAAGTTTTTTTCCTTTCTTTAATGAATTTGAAGTGAAAGATTGAATAAATGGCCCTGTTTATTTATTTATTTTACAGTTGCAAACCCTCCAGAGAAGTCGAAAGATGACAGCAGCATATCAGCAAAAAATGGACAGCTATCAAGTGAGGTTCTAGGAAAAAATAGCATTTAGATCTGACATTTAATAGTACAATTTTAACATAACACAAGCTTTTACAAACACTGATATGTAGTACTTGTAGTACTTTCTGCATGCGCCTGCAAGCATAGGCCTACATATGTACCCCAAAAACATATATTTGAAGATTGATATCTGTTATAGTTGCGTTCATAACATATGCTGAAATATCTCTCTTGTATAGTTAGAGGCTGTTAGTAAGAGAAGCATTATAAACCATTTTACAAATGCACATTAGTTTGATCCAGAAAAATTACTGGCTAGAATATATCCATACATATTGAGTAGTTGACCATGTAACAGTACAATTAACCTTCATAATCACCAAACCAAGATTAAAACAATAATGATCAATAGATTTTGCACTGAAAAATGATAGCCTAATGTTTAATACTTTCCAATTACAGAGACTGGGACAAATTACCTCACGAGGCACACACAGAAAAGTCCATCGGCGCTGGAGAACAGGACACCATCTCCATCTGGTGGCAGCAGGACACCACCCAGTGGTGTGGGTCAGGATTACGCAGTCATGGACCTGAGCACAGACAACATGCCAGCCATCGATACACCAGAGGCATCACATTTATGCTCTAGAAGGTAAGAACTGAATTACAGAAACCAAAAAGAAATTATCTTGCCAATTTGGTAAGTTGCCATTGAGAAATATACATCTGGGATAAGATGTACTTGTAGGCAGGATCATATATTTGTGAAGGATCCAACAACTTTTCCTAAACATTTTACCCATGTTTGTTTGAATGAAGATATTGCAAAGCACACATCAGCTCTGACCATCTGTGTCACATCAGACATTAACAGGGCCAGACCCTGTAGTCCAAGAACAACATATCTTTGCTGAATAACTGTCTGAAGTTTTTCCTAATATTTTGGCAGAAGTGAGAGGTGATTCGTGCCATGTGAAACTCCCTTCCTTTACCATTAAATGTTGATGAAACACAAACACATAGAACTTGCAGCAATTGTACAAGTTTGCTGTCCATGCATATATGTGATTGTGTAGAAAATGACTTCATTATTTCTATAGTATAAGTAAGCAGTCGATACGTGCACAAGGTCAATTAAACATTGCATACCTATATGTGTGACGTGACCTGAAGTATGTCAGAATGTCTACAAACTTGCAGTGCAATTTTTAATACGTGTCACTGATTCGGAAGATTTCATCAAGGTGTGAAATTATTTAGAGTTTTTCTCCTGATCTAATTAATTGTTCATCAAGTTTATTGTATTTGTGCATTTGGACTAGAGCAAACTTAACCACCAGAACTAATCCAGTATGTTTTTAAAGGAAATAACCATCAATTGATTTGATAAGTGGCATTAAATCACTGCCATCCTGAGGCTCAAGAGCCCTTCACATTAAATTATTCGCTCAGATCTATAATGCAGTCCAAAAAAATGTTTGTTGTCTATGTGCCTGCATGTTGGAGCATCTTTGTGTTTATATTAAGTCAACTCTATGCCTCTGCTGATTGGCTATTTTCAAAAGTCTGTTTATAATGAGAGAGAGAGAATTCCTACTTTTGAACAGATGTGTCTTATAGCCCAATGAAATGGGAATATTGAACTACACATCTAAGAGCCAATTAATTTTGCCTTTGAATTTAGAAAGATATGAACTCTGGCTAATAAGGACTGTATTGATGTTGTTCACGTATGAGTGCAAATTCAGTTTTATCACAAAAAGAATGCAAGATGTTGAAGGCATGTTTCATTTTTTACCTTGAAGGGATATCAAGAATCATTGCAGAAGACCATGTAATTACAATGATATTATACCATTTTATGGTGAATTATGTTAAACTACACTTTCCCTTGTGTTTGAATGCATATAGATGTATTACAAGGAAAAATTATATATCCTGAGAAAGTCAGTCATTGCCAAGTAAAACTTGGCAGTCAGTTTTTTGTTTTGCTTTGATTTTTTATAATTGAATTCTATGTGATGCCTACATAATGCAGGTACTTTGTCATGTCTGCAATGAAAGAGACTCCTTTTATCTGATCCGGTCAATTTTGGGTCAACTGTCAGTACAGAATGTCCATGGCTGTTGGTGTCCCTGGGGAGTCCAGCCCCTGCCTTGTGATAAGTGATGGGAAAATTGGCTAGGGTAGGTGAACCTGGTTGTTCTGCTTGGCAACCTTTACAAATTAGATATCTACCTAATGCAGGCCCTCTAGAGATATCTAACAGGGGATTGTGTAGTCAATATTCTAATAAGTACTGGTGTTCAGTGTCACAGCTAGTGGGTGTAAAGAAGAGGGTGGAGAGATAAAATGACAAGCTGTGTCATAGCTCAGCAGATTGCCTTCTACAGTACACAGATGGAGGTTGCTGTATGTGTGTAGTGCTGGTACATGTATCTGTAGATATAGACAAAGTGAAGCCCAGGATGGAAGGAGGTAGAGACACATCTGGCAGTGATGCTACTGCACAAAGCAAGATGGAGGAAAAGCGAGAGTCAGTTGCAGAGATTCCAAGACGGTAATGTTTCCAAGTTATCTTGCTGTCTTGTACCTGGGTTTTCTCATAATGTCTCCAAGTTTTTGTGGTGTCTTGAACCTGGGTTTTCACAAAATGTCTCCATTTACCTGAATTTTTTCTGGTGTTGCAGCATGGTTATTAGAGGCCCTCCACACATTACCAAATGTGGAACCAAGGTATTTGAAAAATAATTATTTACTGCTGACAGTGAAGTGCATAATAGTTGAGTAGTCACTCTAATGCCTTCAATACATGACATTGACATGTGAGTCTTAATATTAGTATAAAGCCATCAGATGTTAAGTATTAGTGATATTGATATAGGTGAAATGCAGATGCAATGTTTGATTACTTGATTTCTTTTCTCTTGAGATGGTTCTGAAGCTACACAATATCAATGGGTAATGTGATAACCTGGCAGAATTTTGAAGAAAGATCTTTGGATAAAAGGTCAAATAATTGATAGAAGACATTTTTTGTTAAAAGAATGTAGCTATCCAAAATGTAATCAATCTTCATCATGACATTGTTCTTCAAAAGGTTCAAAGGCAAGAGAATGGTAAAACTGACATATTATGATTTTTTCAAGAAATGTATGGAAACAGTGCACTTGCAGTTTTAAACATTCAAACCCTTTCTGCAAATATAAATTGTATGCTAGTTTTTAAGGCTTCGACCATAAGGGAATTTATATTATGTGGTATATTTCATTAATCATTAATTTCTATAAAAAACATCACTCGCTGTGTGTAACCATTAAGTCAATGGTTCTGTGAAGTTTCCCTGGAATGTCTGTCATTTGACTGTGATAATGAACACCCTTCCTGCTCCACTTGAGTAAATGTGTGAACAAAAGACTCTAGAGATGTAGAATGGAAAATCACCACTAGCATGTTGACCATCTTGATTTGCCTCTTGATGGATGTAGAAAAAAACATGTGGGTTTGATGTGTATGTTAATAAGTATTTTGATGGAGATAGATTCAATGTGGATTACTTTTTTGTGACCTTTAAACTGTTCTTTAAGCACAATCATAGCTATATACGCATTGTTACATGCAAGCACACGGGTTTCAGTTAACACAGTAATTGTCCTGCATCTAATTGAGTACAGCAATCATTGCACACGAAGATCACTGATTTGCATGTTCTTGGTTGCTTTAGTGTTGCATGATCTTTAAGACTCCAAAACTGACTCAATCAACAGCTTAGAGCAGAGGCTTTTTTTCTACACTGGTACTGGTGGGCATTAATGCAGTCATTATTGAATCGTACATACCTCCATGACAGAAAAGAAAAGTTTTATCAAACAGTAATGGATGCTTCCATGAAATCCCCAGCTGTAGTGCGCCGGGCGTCCTGTCCACCCTGTGTGTCACCTTGGGGACTTGATTACCCATCAGTCATGAGACACAGCCATCTGGAAAAGAAGTGTCTTGAGGCCTGCAGCATGATTGAACTGGGGTAAGACAGGCAATAGACACATTTTTCATACAAAGTCAATGATAATGAAATCATTTGCTATTATTTATACATGAATCAGCATTTTATAGCCCGATTTCAAACTCACAGTGGGATTCATGCACTTTAACTTGCATAAGGTAGGTCACTATTATTCATTTACTGTGAAATTCTGGAAATCTTTGCGACATTTAAATCATATATATAAATTTCTTTCTCATGATCAGTATTTATAGATCTAAGATATGTTACTGATTTATTTTCAAAATATTTCTTACGCCAAATATCTAAAAATTACTGTTTCTCATTGTTTACCTTTCACAATATCTAGTACAAACAACCATCCCACAGTGTTTAATTCCATGAAATTGGCGAGTTCTGTGCATTTAAGTCATGAAAATACTTTATTTTCAAATAACAGTTGGCTTCTTATATTATGTGAATGATTTATCAGCACGGAGACTGGTTAAGAAGCTAGTGAAGTACCTCCTCTTAGCCTCATCTTTTGAAAAAGATTTTAAAAAATTAGTAGTTCAAAACAGCACCATGAATAAAATTTAAAATTTAGAAGTAACAATATAGGGTTGGAAAAGTGTCATTTTTATGTTCTTGTGCTTGTAGTCAGAGATATTTGAGAGGTAGTATCTTTAGATCTGTTTATGATGCCTGAGTATAACATTATGACCATTAGGCCTTTTTCACATCAAGCAGTATAATACAATACAATACAATACAATACAATACAATACAATCTGTACAGTTACACTTTCATAGATTGAAAACTTAATAACCTGGCTGTTGCATAAGAGAGTCAACTAAAACTGGGCCTCTGCACTTGACATGGCCAATGGCATGGCCAACTACGATCAATATATGACATCATGTGAGACTGTGTGTGTGTGTGTGTGTGTGTGTGTGTGTGTGTGTATGTGTGTGTACGCGTATGTGAGTGTGTGAGAATATGCATGAGGTGGGTTTGGCTTTTCAGTGATTTCAGTAAAATTCTATGGGAATGTCATCTAAGAAAGCAATACAAAAGTAATATGCAAAACAAAGCAAATTCAAATCGTTGGGAAGTAGACTGTAATTCAACAGAGAAAACAACAAAAAAATTATTTGTGTATAAATTTCATTTATTCCTTTTTACACTGCTTTTCTCAGCCCACCCTCCTCTTTATTTTATGCTAAGTTGCAAGACGTAAAGTTGTTTAAGTGGTTCCACTGTTACACTTAAAATTCTTAAAGAATAGAAAGAAGAAATGTACAAATGTTTCATTAATGTGATGGATTCGCCTGACAATCAAAATATTTCATTGGTGAAAAGTAAACTTAACACTGATCTGATAACAACATTACCTTTCCAGGGAGATGAAAAGAATTTTAGCTGAGGTGATCCCAAATCTGACTGGTAGATAAGACTACCTTAAGCTACTAATTACTTGTACTTCAGGGCAGCTGATTAACAGTATTATGCAATACTCAGTTTTGAAACACTTCTGATGGGTAGCTAAGATCTAATCAGACCAGTTCTCAGGGCCATTGATTGACAGCCTAAGGCAATTGATCACCAGTCTCCTTTGCTTGTGATTTTTAGCTATGACAAGAGGCTGTCAGACTGATATTTGTTATA